CATGTCGCGTTGCGGCGACTCCGATTCCCATTGCAGATGTTGGTTTCTTCCCATGAAGACATCTTTGCCATGCGTGGCCAACCGCCCCTCTTCCCCGCCCTCGAGAGTTCGGATGTCATCTACTTTCTGCCCGGTGTCTCCATTGCACCCAGTTGTCTGTTGGACGCCCAGCCAGGTGCACACCGATCCCAATATGTTTTTGTGATTCTGCTTGGGCGAATCATCGTGAAGCGATTCAGGGTATCCTCACTGTAAACCCTCACTTGCAAGGACTTGGGTGTTCGGTGCCAACTTAGCAAGTTTTTGGTAGCCTAGGCCTAGGCCATAACATGTTGTAACCCACTTGTAAGCCCCCGTTCAGTGTTCTCAACCCTGCTATTGGGTTACAACCCAGGTGGTCACCCACTTACCAGAAGCAGCTAAAGGTACACATAGGTCCCTCCCTCACTTACAAGCCTCTTGCGTGTCGCTCTGAGGTGAGAGGATTGTGAAGGGCGCTAGATGGAGGGTTGCCGTAAAAGTTCCTTACTAAGTCACCTGATGTCCGGCCCAGCTAGTAAGTGCTTAGCCACTTGGCTCCAGCCCGCTGAGAACAGGGCCGACTTGACTGAGCGGAGAACTTATGATTGAGTTATAAGCTAGACTGCTGCTAACGTATACCTTACCAAGTGCCGCTAACAACAAAATTGGCTTCCTGAACCCTTGAGCCACCCTTCGCGCAATATGGTTTAAGCGGGTAGTTTTAACAGTCCAGGTTGCTAACTTGGCATCGAACACCCAGCTCCATTCGCGCGGATGGCAGGTGGGGATGTGGAAGCGGCCGCAGACCGGCTCTTGCTCTGATTTGCGAAAGCCGACAGAGACATGAAGATTACTTGCCCTTTACTTACGCAGTGATGGCAGGGTTCAACAATGCACAAGGTATGATTCGATATGATACAGAGTCACCAAGGCTGATACTGGGCGGACAAATTTTGCTACGCACCAGTTGGGAACGCGCTCAACCGTATCACTGGGATACACCACCTATCAACGACTATTACAGGATTCCGTTCAACGACTGTGTCATATCCCGAGGGTAGTCTCCTGTCACACACCATCCAACTGACTGTTTGTTTCCCATGTCCAGGACTTCGAATGCTGTCCTGGTTACAAGGAATCCACCTTTCGGACCCATCATAACCAAATGTTACCTGACTCTTCTTTCGGGGGATCCGTCTTTCGGGTTCATTCGACGGGCGAAGAGCGAGAAAAAGACCGCCGCGATGGAGGCTTTGGAAGGCTCCGGACATTGTCATTGACAAGCTCGCTTGAGCCACAGTCAAATTCCTGGTCATGAATTACAGTTGGGTGAAAGTAGATGGCACCAATCCCACAGTTTCCGTAGTAATCCCCATTACCTAGACAAAGGGATTTATGCAATTTACTTTCATCCTGGCATACAAGGGTTCCTCTTGTTCCCAGGTTGTGGTTGTGACTCACCTAGCGGTAAAACGAGCTCACGCATGGTGAAGGGTCAGTGCTGGGCGACGTGTTTCTTGGGTTCCCGAATTCGAGATAATCTTGTAAAGGGGACCTCCATGTTCCTGCAACCCAAAATTAGCTACCCCCTGGCTGAAGCAAACGAGGGTGCCCTAGACAGAGAGGCTTGGCATCACTGCGGGGAAACCTCTGCTACCAATCCAACAGCTTGATTCTAGGATCAACATTGCACCAGGCTGTTCCTCTCTTGCCTAGGGCCAAGGGCCACAGATGAAGGTTGAGCAAGGTCTCAGTTGGGCTGTGGTTTTGGGGGTTCGTGAACATCTTTCATATCTTACATGTCTTTTGTTATTGCGGAAGAAGGACGCCCCCCTTAAATGCGCAGTTTGGTGCCCTCTCCGTGGGGCTTGGGCACCCTCTGCCTTGGCCCTTAAAAATCAGCTCGGGGGGCGCCAGTCAAAGTGATCAGAAAGGACCGGTGAGGCCAATCAAAGTCCTTAAAGTTCATGGCGCACAAAAGAAAGCAGAAAGGAACATCCGATCTTGAGATATGTGGTGAGCCTTCAAACAAAAAGCCCCAAGCGAAAGGGGGTGGTTCCCTTTGGTTTCCTTTCTTCAAAGCCCCAAAAGGAGCATCCTCAAAAGAGACGCCGGTATGAACTGCGTCCATTGCAAGCAGCGGTTTGCTCTTGGAAAGCAGCATTGCACCGGGACATGTCACAGAACACGTCAGTCAAGAAACAGACAGATCAAGCTTCAAGTTAACTTGTAAGCATGCCCAGCCTCCTAAGCGTGAGCTGAAGAGAGGCATGTGACTCCAGTGATTCCACTTCTGGCTCCTTCGTCTTTGTCCGTAGAGAAGACTAGATGAACAGACTGGGCTGACAGACATTGGCCGAGATTCGGGCCGGATGCACGCAAAGGAGTCGGAGTTTCACACCCCAGGGCCGTGTTGATAGGGGTATCAATTTGAACTGGAAAAGGAGAACTAAGCGATGTGCGTGCAGTGGGGGTTCAGTGCTGGGACTCCCACCCTCAGAGCTCGTCCATTTTGCCCAGGTTCCAGTAGCAACTTATAATACGACAATGGTTTCAGCCAAAAGTTGCTTGAACTTTGCATGGTTTGGGATTTGACAAAGGATCGCCCTGGCGGGTGTATTTACGCGCCAGGCTCGCTCTACCAGGGATTGTGCGCATCAGGACTTCTTGTCGAAACATGCACCTGCCGAACTGTCCAGAGGTGGAATCTTGATGCTGGATGTTTGATTGAATTTGTCAAGCGTAGAACATTGCCACGTCATGCAATACGAGCCCTACACAAAACATGCAAAACACAACTTTTCAATCCACTAAATGGTTGTCGTTCTGAAGTGCCAAATTTTGGCACGACAGCACCCGCTGAATCCAGTCAAAAAACGAAGCTCGAGTAAGTGTTCTGTCGATTGCGTGATTCATCACACTAAACTTTCCGGATACATTCCTGCACAAAAAGCTTGCACATATATGTGCGCCATGTGTCAAGCTGTGCGCCATGCCGCCACGAAAGCAGCAGCGCACGGTGGCTTGGCTTGAGTTGACTCGTCGTTTGCCTTTCGCAATGTGGTTCTGACCTGTACATCCGTCAAGAAGGTTCGCCCCATGTGATTGATGCCCACCAAAGGGGTTGACAGGGATGGTCATCCAATTGGAAAGGACCAACTTGGGTTTCAGCCGTCACATGCTGGTGTTTCTGCTCATTTCACCATGCGGCAGGTGGCGGCAGAGCTGGATAGGTGCGCCCCCCCGTTTACCCCCCGCCTCATGCTGAGGACCTCGTGTGCTTGCAGTGTTCTTTTGGCTGTGATTTTTCGCGATGGCACGTGGCATAAATCCACATGGACCTGATGTCCAGCAAAGGTCCCCAGCAGAACATAGCCATGTGAAAAGAGATCTGATCTTTGGTGCTCTTTTTTGATCTGCTGCACTTCATGTGAAAGATTTCGGCTAAAACGTTGCGCGTGACCGCTCGCCGGAAAGCTTACGCCATGCTGCCAGCACCTCAGGCTGATGGCCAGAGTCATGCCAGATGCATCAGACGTAGTTTTCTCCATGTGACCTGCGATTTACGAGATGTTGGTGATATCAGAACTGTAGTTGAGGGAGAGCATTTCAGGCTTGGGCGCTTGGTTCGCCAGGGGGTCGTCCACCCTGTTTACTCGCTTTCGCAGCTCGGACGTGCAGGATTTCGCTGCAGAATGATTTGATGTCCACTTGCCAGGCTTCCACGCTCGCGTCCAGGAGCAGTCGGGAGCTCTTTGTGCATCGTGAGATTGGCAGCTGTGGCATCAGCACAATATCAGCACACTCACAGACACACACACACTGCAAGTCACTGACCAATGCAGTGGCTCTTGCTTGAGGCCTGAGCGCAACGGCACCAAATCTGGCGCGAGGCTTTGCTACGAAGGCCAGGACTGAAGTGTGCCGCTGACACCGGGCTAGATTGGTTCGAACACAATTTCAGAGCTACCTGCTCAGGTGTACTCTCCAAGGCTGGCTTGTGACAGCAGGTGTTGCAGCGGTTGAGAGCACTTCTGTCAGCATGGTATGCGCAACATCGCTTGGAGGCCTTTGTCCGTCCGCTATGATGGACTGATGGCACTGCTGGCTTTGTGCTGCTAGAGTTTTCCGTGTGCATTTGCTCGCCTCGATGATGCTCTACGATGCTCCAACTCTCAAGAGTGCGTTTGCCTTTTTGTCATAAATGAGCTTTTCTGATTTTGCATGGGACTTGCTGTTCTCCAGGCATGTCAATACTATTTGTTTCCATCGCCGGCATGAGCAATTGTGCCAGACACAGTGCGTCGTGGCTGCTTTGGTGTACTTTGTGCCTCAGGATCTCTTGAATTGCTTAGATTGGATGAGTATGAGCATGGCATCTTGCAACAACCCTTGTTTCAGTTTGGTCCTTCAGTGAACAGGACGTGGTCTTCCTTGGAGGACTCTTCTATGTCTGGCACAGCAACGTCCTGGGCCAAGTTGGGCTTGGTCATGGACATGCCAACTGAGCAGCACCAAAATCCCCACTGGCCACTTTAGTAGGTGGTTCTACTTCTTGGTGTAATAATGATTATAGTAATCTCTGTCAATATCTATATCCATGCCAATGGCCAAAAGAGAATTGGTTCTGGGCGCAGCTCAACTGGATGCATCATGGCATGAACAGCAGAATCAGGGCAATAGACATGAGCGGTCCTTCTTTGTGGTTGGGGACCTTCCCGCAGTGATAAATGTCGATTTAGGCGACCAAAGCCGCTCCAAAAGCCAAGCAAGCAGATGCCGAAGCCGCCCTGGAGGAGAGTGATAAGCGAAAGTCATGCACCCATGCCGCACCGCTATTGAACGAGCCTGGTTCACAAATAAGTTTGTAATCTCAGGAGTGGAAGGCCAAGAAGGGCATCGAGATGGTCAAAGTTTCGAAGTCGCGCACCACCTGGTATGTGTCGTGAATGCACCACGCATCGGTGTGACCATATGTTGTTTGCCTGCAATGTCAAGTGTGCACTCGGCACTTCGTCTGAGCGTCCGTTTGTCTTTGCTGCTGTTATGGATTCCTCTGCGGCGAAAATACGCGGCACATGGGCAAAGGGGTTACGTCAAGGCAGACATACACCCGGTGGTTCATTTCAAAGCAGAACCCCCTGGGCTTGTGTCTACCTTGGGGCAATCCAATGGAGCCTTGCATGCGCAGCTGACAGACTGAGCGTTTTAGACACTGTCACAGCCCGCAGGTCGAAAGCCCGAGCACATCAACTTCCCTGAGCGCTTGCAAGCTTTGGGACTTCGCAATGGTAAGGCCCGCCACCTCGGTTCGCAAAGTAGTTGCGGAGCCAGCAGAGTTGTACTGCTTGCAACCGAAAGTGTGGGCTAGGCACTAGGTGTACATACTTAGCTTGGATGGTCTTTGCAGCCTCTGGGCTGTGGAAGAAAACAATCTTTGTCAGTGCACAGCTCACGGCCCCGAGTTGTTTTTCTCCTAGGTTTTCGCGGCCGTTTTGCTGCGTGGTGCGGGTTTTGGCTCGGCCGGTCTTTCTCGTCCGTCGGTCGCCCCGGTCAGTCA